AGGATGAGTCTTTCTGAGCAAGGAGACTGCAGAGCCAAGAGGTGGCTCTGCTGTGGGGAGAAATGGCTGTATTCAGGAGGGTTAATGGCCACCCATCCTTCTAAGAAGGGTGTTAGCGTCAGGTTGGACTTGTGTGTGCTTGTTCAGAGTCCTGTACAGAGTTGCTGAGCTGCACGGCATTGAAAAAGAGTTCACGATCTGATCAAAGTCTCCAAATCAGGACTGGTAACTAAGCAAATGAAACAAAAACACACAGGCAGCAGACACTGTCATGTCAGTAAGGGCCAGAGGTCCTTAAAAGAGTCCAGCTGGCTCCTGGTATCTTTCCCCCTGTGTCAGTGGCTGTGCATCCAGGAAGCTTCATGTTCAGAGCGGTCGCTGATGGTGCATTACCAACAGTGTGTTCTGATCAAAGTGGTCAATTCCTCCAAGGAAGCCACCATTAATATTTAATGATATAATTGCATCTAATGGAGATACTGGCACAAACTGAGCCTTTTGTTTAAGAATGATGAAAACTGGGGCTTAAATACGAGTTTGCACAGGCAAATATTTATATCTCACATTAAAATAACCTTTAAATGGGAGACATGGGGTAAGATGCTTTAGAATTTATCTTCAAGCTGTATATTAAAGTCATACTTACCACTTTAGAAGTGATTGCTCATCTGTTAGTTTAATATAAAATCTGAACTCTTTCACAAAAGTTGTTGGCTCCTTAGACTTAAAGCTGTGAAGACCCATCTAAAAAATTCTACCGTCTCTCCAATTTACATGTTCTTTTTTTTAATTTTGATCATAACTGTGCCTGATCAAAAGTATCCACACTCTTGGTCAAGCACATAAAGGGAATTTAAAACTAGACTTAAGATAAAACTAACCTAAAAAGGTTATTTCTCTTCTAAACAGTCTGAAGCCAGCCAAAGTAAACTGAATTCCCATCCTACCACTTAGGATATTTTTTAAAGAGTTCACTTTTTGGTGTTATTAACAAGTTCAGGCATTTCATTCTAAGCTCAGGCACATGTATACATTATAGGAGCTATTGCATTTTAAAACTAGCTATGGTTTCCCAGTTGTTCAAAGCATTGAAGTTTTCTGTCTATAGGCTTTACATGATTTCTGATTATTTAAAAAGATGTTGATAAAGAAATAAACTGCTTACCCAGGTAGATGATGGGCTCTACTTCGTAAAGTTCCTATTTCTCTCTTGTTTTGTTCCGCAGCTGTCCTTTGAATTTCTGGCTTCTCAACGGTTTGTGCTGTAGTTTGATCCCCTTCTGATTGGCTCATCCGGGAGCCAGGAGTAATGAGGTTGTGTTTGCAGCCCACACGAGGACTAATGCACTAGGTGTGGTCAGGACCAATTATTATATGACATAGCTCCTTTGCGCTCTGTGCAGCACAGCAGTACGGAGCATGCCAAATAGCTCCCCTTCCCCAGAGTGCTTCTGTCAACAGTATTTCCTGAGTTTAAGCACCATGGCTTAGTGTTACCAAGTCAAAACCTGCATTTGTTTAAATGTGGAGGTTTTTCCCTCTAACAAAGGATTGTGTCATCGTACACTTTTTATTCCGCAGTTAACTAGAAGGCTGTTGTGCCTCTTGCTCCGTTCTCTGCGAGCCCTATGCTTGTAGGCCACTCAGGCAGAAGGACCCTTACATACAGCTGGGGATCATCCCAGATCAGCTGCACATTATAGGATGGAACCGTGCGGGCTGAGTTGGGCTCTTTTATCAAAAGGAGTGAGTGTTGAAGACAGCCTAATCGCTGCACTGTCACTAGTTCACTGCTCTAGCTTCACCCTTGCACACCCAAGAACTCTTCCCTACCTTTTAGAGAGCGAGCACTACAACTCTCTTGCAGCAAGGGGGAAGAGGGAGGTAAGCTATATGTTTATTTTTAGCAAAACTGCTTTCTGATAATGTTATATGAAAAGTCAGTCTTTTGAGGTGGAGGTTGGGTGGTGGTTTCTTTTTTTTGCTTGTAAACCAAACCAGACAAATGCAGACAGTAGAGAGAAGGAAGAGTATGTACTGCAAATCAAATCTCTTACCCACAAAGATATTATGATGTAGAAAATGGCCCCTTAATTTAATTAGGTTCTCTTGTTATCAAATTATTACCCGCATGGTCAGCAAGGCCTTAGACAGAAGCAGAACATAATCAAGCTGCTCAGGAAGCCTGTTAAGTAGTAATTGCTCCTCCAGAGAATTGATCAACGTCAAGATGGCTTTTATTTTTTGTTGTTGTTGTTGAATAGTTCCAGGAAGAGACTTTGTCTAGTTTGAGTGTCCACATGGCTCTTGCTTGCTGGTGGTGCAGGCTATAGTCTGCAACAAAATATGCAGCCCTGTTGTTGGTAAATGAGGTTATCAAGTGTCCGGCATAAACTATTGTTGAAAAAAGTTTTGCCTCTAATGTTACTAACAAACACATTTGCTGGTCCAAGTGAAAATGTAAGCAAGCTGTTAAATTGGTGCTCTGTGTAGTTTCCTTTATTCACTTGTGGTGTAGCTTTTACATGTCATGACCTTAGTCCGCAAAAATAGCCTGAGCAGTGCTGTTAATTACCTTGCGATTAGTTAAAATTTTAAGATTAAAAAAAAAAAAAATGTAGCTGGAAATTGTGATAGTACGAAGACCTTCAAGGCCAAGCCAAGGACATTCTGTAAGGATTGCACTGAATCACATTGTTTCTTGTTTTTCTCTGCACAGTAACATCTAATTTTTGATCCAAAGCTATTTCAATTTTATTTTTAAATACTGTGAAATTACCTACTTTAAGGTGGAACTGCAGAAATAATGCAGAGCAGGGCAATCCACGTTTGCTCCTTGCATCGTCAAAGTTACAGCGTATTTTGTTTTTGTAAGACAAGCCTGCAAGTTTCCTACCCACCTGAAGGAAAAGAGTCTCAAATGCTTAATATATATATATTTCTTTAAAAA